GGGGCAGGGGTGAGACCTGGTTTCCTGCATCCTCTATCTGTCCGCTAGGGAGCAGGGGCCTGTGCCGGGTCCACCAAGCCAGAAGTCAGGACGGGAGCACACAGGCTGGCTGTCAGGACAGTCCATCAAAAGCTGAAGGTGCCGGGGCTGGCACTGTGGCATAGTGGGTTAAGCCGCCGCCTGCAGTGCCGGCATCCCCTATGGGCACTGGTTCGAGTCTCAGCTGCTCCACTTCCGATCCAGCTCCCTGCTATGGCTTGGTAAAGCAGTGGAAGATGTCCCAAGTCCTTGGGCCCTGCACCCACGTGGGAGACCCGGAAGAAACTCCTGGCTCCCGGCTTTGGATTGGTGCAACTCTGAGAGTTGTGGCCAGCTGGGGAGTAAACCAACAGATGGAAGACACCCCTCTCTCTCTCTCTCTCTCTCTCTCTCTCTTTCTCTCTCTGTCTCTGTGTGTAACTCTGCCTTTCAAATAAATAAATAAATCTTAAAAAAAAAAAAAAAAGCTGCAGGTTCCAGCAAACCTGCGGCGGGGAGGGGGGGGCTCCCCGTCTGTGCTACAGGATCCAGCTCGGTTTGCTGGCCCTCGCTGGCCCCTCCTGCCCTCCTTGAGGGCCCAGAGCCCAGGACTAGGGCCTCTTCTATGTCCTGTGGCACTGTCCTCCAGATGCCAGACCTTGAGCTCTCTGCCCAGCCAGGCGCACCTGAGGCCATCCTGGCTTGGCCTGCCCTGCAGGCGCCCTTGGCCCCCAGAGCCTGCCAGGTTCCACGCGGTCTCAGCCAGCACTCCTTGAGAAACCCAGCTGGTAATACCCAGGAGCAGCTGAACTAAGGACCTGGCGCTGCAGCCGGGCTACAGTCTTCCTGCTTCCACGCTTCCTGCTGACTGGAACCTCGCAAGGTTTCTCCTTGCCCTGTGAATAAGCCTCCTCAAGACCTCAAGCCCTTCTCCCAGTCACCATCTCAGGTCCTTGCCTCCTGGGTCCACATGCTGCGGCCCAGCCACACCCTCCCAGGTGGCCTCACCAGCCTGCCATAGCCTGTGCCACCTCCTACAGACCCAGGGACCCAACCTTTCCTGCCTGGGGCTGGAAGCAGGCATGCAAGCCAAGAGCTGGCCCCTGCCCCTGCCTCCAAGTCGCTGCCCAGAGAACCTACCCCTCGGGCACCAGGGCCCAGGACATCCCCAGGGGTGGCAGTTATCACAGGAAAAGGGGCCAGGGGCCCCCAGGACCTCCCTGGCAGCTCGGACCAGTGAGGCAATCAGCAGGAGACACAGGCTCAGCCGCCCTTGGCTCAGCTGCACCTCCCCTGCAAATGCTCAGGGACTTGCAAACGGGGGAGGGAAAGAAATTCCGGCCCCCTGCAGGAAGGGCGGGCCTGGGATCCAGGATTCCCGGCCCCTCCCCACAGGGACGTGAAAGCTCACAATGGCCTCCCCCTGGACGCTGCAGCCTCCGCAGGGGGGATGCATCGAGCAGGGCTGTAAACAAAGTCTTATCCACCATGCATGCCCCGGAGAGGGATTTAAAAATAAACTCGGCCTCAGCATGGAAAACCAGGACTCAGTGCTGCTCCTTGAAATCTCGGGAGCAAGGGGGGCCCCTCCCTGCGCCCCCCCAGTGCCCCCAATGGGCCCTGGGCTGTGCAGGATGGAGCCGAGGGAAGGCGATGACACAGGAGATGCAGTGGACACTGAGGGCCCCTCTGCCCCGCCTCTGCACCCCCTCTGTCTTCTGCCCTGGCAGCTGACCGACTGCAGTGCACCTGCAGGCTGGGTGGGGCCATGTTGGAGGGGAAGCCATGTTTCTGCTTTGTTGCCATTCCACCTTGGAGAGCACCTGCACCCCCATCCCACCATCCGAGCAGACTGGGCTTCGTTTACTCTTTCAATCAAAAAACAGTTATCTAGGGTCAGCGCTGTCCTATAGCACCGGCATCCTGGCTGTTCCACTTCCGATCCAGCTCCCTGCTAATGCCCCTTGGGAAAGCAGCGGAGGATGGCCCCAAGTGCTTGGGTCCCCGCGCCCACGTGGCTCCCGGCTCCTGCCTTCAGTCTGGCCCAGCCCTGGCCACTGCAGCCATTTGGGGGAGTGAATCAGCCCATGGAAGATCCCAGAGCTCCACGTGGTGGGTAGCAGGCTCCCGGGGTCCAGGTGCTCACAACAGCAAGGAGCCCCGCTGGGTGCCCTTGTGTGCCAGCTGCCAGGCCTGGGGGGTGGTGGAGGGGGTTGTGCAGCAGCTGGAATGAAACAAAGCAGGAGCTCTCCCAGGAGGCTGCCTGCTCCCCGCCTCGCCTCAAGCCACGGGTCTCCTGGCAGCAGCTTTCCCTGGTCTGGGCACTTAGGCCACGCCCTACACAGTGTGGGAGGAGCCACCCAGACTCTCGGCCCCGCCCCCGAACATCTCTTTGCTCTTCTTTCTTCCTGTTCCTCCCTGGCCACAGGGCCTCAGACAGGAGGGACCCCTGCATCTCATGCCCCCACTGCTTTCTCAGATGAGGAGTCAGGCTGTGCCCTGCTGCCTGGCAGAGCCGCGGGGACCTGGTTATTACACAGGAGCCGTGGGTGAGCCAGGCTGCATTTATTCCTTATTTCATCATGGGCTGAGGGGGATTTAAAAAGTCCATGGGTGCCAGCGCCGCGGCTCACTAGGCTAATCCTCCGGCTGCGGCGCCGGCACCCCAGGCTCTACTCCCGGTTGGGGCGCCGGATTCTGTCCCGGTTGCCCCTCTTCCAAGCCAGCTCTCTGCTGTGGCCAGGAAGTACAGTGGAGGATGGCCCAACTGCTTGGGCCCTGCACCCACATGGGAGACCAGGAGAAGCACCTGGCTCCTGCCTTCGGATCAGCACAGTGTGCAGGCCGCAGCAGCCATTGGGGGGTGAACCAACAGAAGGAAGACCTTTCTCTCTGTCTCTCTCTCTCACTGTCCACTCTGCCTGTCAAAAAAAAAAAAAAGGCCATGGGAAATGTGTACTGTGGAAGAACTACCCATGGACTACAAAACTTGTTTTTTTAAAGATTTATTTATGTATTTGAGAGGCAGAGCTACAGAAAAAGACAGGGAGAGACAGAAAGAGGTCTTCCATCCACTGGTTCACTCCCCAAGTGGCTGCAACAGCCAGAGCTGGGCTGGCCCAAAGCTAGAAGCCAGAAGCTTCTTCTGGGTCTCCCACGTGGGTGCAGGGACCCAAGGACTTGGGCCATCCTCCACTGCTTTCCCAGGCCACAGCAGAGAGCTGGATTTGGAAGTGGAGCAGCTGGGCCTCGAACCGGCACCCATAGGGGATGCCGGCACTGCAGTCTTTACCCACTACACAACGCCAGCCCCCCAAACCTTTTTGTGCTCATAACCAACTTGTCTGTTAATGCCTCTTCGCCAGGAAGCTTTTGGGATTTCCCTCCCATGTGGGAGACCCAGATTGAGCTCCTGGCTCCTGGCTTTGACCTTGGGCATTTGGGGAGTGAACCAGTGGATGGAAGACCTCCCTCTGCGTCTCCCTCTCTCTCTCTGTAAAGTCCAAATAAACAAATAAGCTCCACCCAGGTCTCTCACAGGGATGCAGGGGTCCAAGCACTTGGCTCTTCCTCTGTTGCTTTCCCAGGTGCATTAGCAGGGAGCTGGATGGGAAGTGGGGCAGCCAGACTCGAACTGGCACCCATGTGGGATGCCTATGGGATGCCGGCACTGTAGACGGTGGCTTAACCCGCTGTGCCACAATGCCACCCCAACAAATAAATCTTAAAACAGAAAAGGCACAGAGGGAAGACAGAGAGGCCGGGAAGCAAAAAGGCACAAGGCAGCCTCAGGGGGCCTGTGCACGTGGGTGGCAGGCCCCAGCCCGCTGGGTCTCTAGGTGCCGGGGCGCCTTCCCGACCTCGCCTCCGAAGGCCGTTCCTAAGTATCCCGGTCACCTCAGAGCTTCTCCGGGGACCCCCTTCCGGGCGGGGCAGTCCCCTAAGGGGTCCAGGGGGCTCGCCCACCCACGCAGCAAGCGCCGCCCCCAACGAGGGGCCAGGCACGCGGGACTCGCGGGGTGTTGGGGGCCCCCTCAACCGATCCCTCGGCCGTTGTCCCTGTCACGCCCTCATCGCCCCCTCCCCAGACGCCCAGGCCGGCTCCGACCTCGCACCGCCCCCCAGAGCGAGGGGAGGGGCGGTGTTCAGCGTAAGACCTCACCTCTGGGAGGCAGGATCCGCCGGCCCCACGTGGGACTGGAGGGTCCGGGTTGGAAAGCCCGCAGGTGAATCCCTTCCTTCCGGGCACTGCCCCCAGACTTGGTAACGGCTAAGCCCCAGTGGCCTTTTCCACAGGCTAACACTGCCCCCTGCTGGGCTGATCCAGGTGGTCACCGCGAACGAGGACGTGGGAGCGGTCTCGCAGCTCCGTGGGGGCGCCAGGCCTTCCTCCCCACGGTGTGCCCTGGGGCTGGGATGACGTGGTGTCCACGGTCGCAGCGCTTCCGCCTACACAACAAAGGCAGGACCCCAGGAAGGCCCTGGCTGACTCTCTCCAGCTGCTTGCCCCCGGGCCCGAATTCAACACTAGACACGGCTGAGGTTGCTGTGCACCCAGGAGACCAACGTCAGCCCAATTGTCCCTCCTTTCCCACCTACACTCCAGAGCCCCTGCTGGCTCTTCTTTTAGCCTCAAGAGGGTAATGCGGGGGCCAACGGTGTGGTGTAGTGGGTTAATGCTCTGGCCTGAAGCGCTGGCATCCCATATGGGCACAGGTTCGAGTCCCAGCTGCTCCACTTCCCATCCAGCTCTCTGCTATGGCCTGGGATAGCAGTAGAAGATGGCCCAAGTCCTTGGGCCTCTGCACAAGCTCCTGGCTCCTGGCTTCATATCAGCGCAGCTCCACCAGTTGCGGACATTTGGGGGAGTGAACCAGAAGATAGAAGACATTTCTCTCTCTCTCTTGGCCTCTCCTCTCTGTGTGTGTAACTCTTTCAAATAAATAAATAAATAAATATTAAAAAAAAAAGTCCTGGAAAAATGGAACTAAAGGGATGAGTTTATTTGGATGCAAAAAAATTAGTTTTTACATGTGGAAAATGTGCACTATAAAAAAACTACTCATGGATTTCAATTCTCTTTTAGTTATCACCACCTTCTTAACCTCAACATATCAGAAATGAAGTTTATCTTCTCGGAACCTGAGCTTATCCAGCAAATCTCTGGGGACCCCACCATCTGCAGAGCTGTCTCTATAATGCCTGTTTTTGAGACACAGAGACAGAGAGAGAGAGAGAGAGAGAGAGAGAGAGTGCGCTCATTCAGTGGTCTACTCCCCAGATGCCTACAGCGACCCGCCAGGAACCCGATCAAGGGCTCCCACACCAATGGCAGGAATTCAGGCACCTGTGCTATCTATCACCTGCTGCCTCCCTGTTAAGTGAGGGGAAATCTAGATTGTCGCCTGTTCCTCATCTCTGAGCACAGACCCGTCCTGGACACATGCCTCCCCTTACTCTCTTCATACCCCTTACAGATGCACCTTAAATGCCACCTTTGATACGAAGCCTGTCTTGGTCCCCCAACAAAGACTTATCTCTTCCAAAGGCCAGATCTTCTTTCTCCTTCTTAAAAAAAGAGGGGGGTGGCGGGACTGTGGGCATACCAGGCCCTGCCTCCACCTGTGGCACTGGCATCCCATATGGACACTTAAGGTTTGAGTTCCAGCTGCTCTACTTCTGATCCAGCTCTCTGCTAATGCACCTGGGAGAGCAGTGGAAGATGGCCCAAGTGCTTGGGCCCCTGCACCCACCAGGAGACCCAGAAGGAGCTCCTGGCTCCTGGTTTTGGATTGGCCCAGCACTGACTGTTGCAGCCATCTGGGGAGTGAAACAGTGGATGGAAGACCTCTCTCCCTCTCTGTGTCTGTAACTCTGTGTCTGTGCCTATCTAAGAAATCAATGCATCTTTAAAACCATATGATAGGTACAAAGACTCACAACAGCCAGGGCTTGGTTGGATTGAACCTCCCCCCACTGAGAACTCAACCCAGGTCTCCCATATAGGTGGCAGGTACCCAAGGACTTGAACCATCGCCTGCCACTCTCCAGGTGCACATGAGCAGGAAGCTGGGATGGGGAACAGAGTAAGGACTCGAACTCAAGGCCTCCAGTATGGGATGCAGACATCCTAGCTGCAAGGCCAAACACCTGCCCCTGTTTGTTTATGTATTTGAAAGGCAGAGTGAGAGAGAGAGAGAGAGAGAGGTCTTCCATACACTGGTTCACTCCCCAAATGGCTGCAACGGCCAAGGCTGGGACAGGCCAAAGCCAGGAGCCAGGAGCCGCTTCCAGGTCTCCCCCACTATTAGCAGAGAGGGGGATGGGAAGTGGAGCAGCTGGCGCCCACATGGGATGAAGCAGCCGCTGTACCTGCTATGCCCTGTGCACCTTGAATTTGAGTCAGGAGGGCTCTGTCCCCCTAGGCGGATGAATGGATGAACCTGTCACTGAGAGAGTGGCTTTGTCATGCAAACCAGCTCTCCTGCCGTGATGCTGAGCTCTTGTGCTCCCCAGCACCCCCCCCAAACCACCATTCTCACAGCAGCAGCAAAGGGGTGCAGCAGGTTAACCCCTCATTTGTGACTGCCGCATCCCCTATCTGAGTGCTGATGCCAGTCCCGGCTGCTCTGCTTCTAATCCAGCTTCCTGCTAATGCTCCTGGGAAAGCAGCGGAAGACGGTACCTGGGACCCCTGCCCACCTACCAGGGAGACCCGGATAGAGTTCCCGGCTCCTGGTTTCAGTCTGGCCCAGCTCTGGCTGTTGTGGGCATCTGAGGAGTTAGCCAGCAGATGGAAGCTCTCTCTCTCTTTCAAATTAATTAATTCAGTACATTAAAAAAACCAACCAACCAATCAACCACTTTCCCAGTGCACTCTCACTTCCGTGGGCACAGACACCCGGGACCTGCAGTCCCAGCGCTCCCGGTTGGCTTCTGGCTGGCCCAGTCCCCTCCCTCCCCTCCCCCACACCCCCTAGCATTCATCCAAACAAAAATACTTGGGGAACTTTAATGCTACAGAGAAATCGGACACCTGCCCGATAGCTGCGGCCACTCTCCAGGGGGGTGGGGCAGGGGTCCGCCCAGAGCCAGGCCTGTGTCTGCGTGGGGGTGGACATCAGCAGGCAGGAGCCACAGATTTGCCCTCTGCCCCCCAGCGCCTTGCGGACCGCGCCCCAGAGAAGGAAGTAGAAGAGGAGGAGGGTGCGTGGGTGGGTGGGTGCCTCCAGGGCACCCTTCCTGCCCCGGGGTGGTGACTCACCCCGCAGGCTCTGGGAGGGGCAACCCCGCCGACCCAGCCGCGGCCAGGCGGACAGCAAGGGAGGGGAGGGGAGCGAGCGCCGGCCGCGCGGGTCACTTGGGGCCTTTCCTGAGAACCACGTTGTCATACTCGGCGGCCGGCGGCCAGCCCGAGGCAGGGCGCTCCCGCCGCCCCCACGCCTCGGCCCCCGGCCCCTGCGGGCTGTCGTACAGGGTCAGGGCGGCCACACCCTCGGGCTCGTCGTAGATGGGGTCGGGCCCCGCGGGCGGCTGCTCCTCGATGCTGTCGTACAGCGGGTCGGGCGGGGGCAAGGGGCGCGCCAGGCTGTGCCCCCGGCGGCGGGCCACGGCGTCGAAGGGCACGGCGTAGTCCCCCTCGGGGGCCCGCGTGCGAGGCGCGGGCAGGGGCGCGGCGGGCGGCGGCGACGGCAGCGAGTCGAGCGGCTGTGCGTAGGGGCTCTCGGGGCGCGCGGCGGCCGGCGCGGGGCCCGCGTTCTTCTGGGCGCTGATGGCCTCCTCCAGGGCCGAGAAGATCTCGTTGCCCTGCCGCGTTTCGAACTCAAAGCTGCCCTCTCCGGACAAGCAGCGCCGGCCTGCCTCGAAGGAAAAGGTCACCTAGGCGGCAGGGGTCGGGGGTCAGGGGCCCGAGCAGGTGCACTGGGCCCTCCTGATCCTCTCCAACCTGGCTCGCGCTTTCGCTCACCTTGTCCCGCCCGAACCGTCGCAGAAACCTGTAGGGCCAGTGGAACAGCGGTGTGCCGGGCTCCGAGCCGCCCCACAGCTCCAGGGCGTTCTCCCCGGCTCGCAGGATATAGGAGCCCCGGAGCCGGCACCTCTCGCTGGCTTCTGTGGGTCTCATGGTCACTGCAAACTCCTTGCAAGGGACCACTGGGGAGCAGAGAGGAGAGAAAAGTCGGGGGGAGGGGCGCAGCCTCCAGGAAAAGCATGACAAATTCCTCCGGCGTGGGGGTGGGGAGCACCTGTCTGGATGGTGTAGGCTGAGCTGGCCTGAGCCGGGTCATCCGGCCAGGTACCTCCACCCCCACGCGTGCCCACCCACCCCGGGCACATCCACGCGATCCTGTGCTCACAAGCTTCCTGTTGGTGTTGCCAGGCCCACAGCCTGGGCTTCATCTCACCTCTCACCCACAAACCAGCTGGCTCCCCAACTCCCACTGTTAACAGCTTCAGGGGAAGCCCGACCCTGCCTCCACTGCCTATGCCTGCAGGTGCCCTGGGGGGCGGGGGAGCTTAGGTGGACAGGGGACTCTGTGTCCACCGGCCATGCTTGTACAAGCATGCACACGCACGCACACACAGCCCAGAGGACAAGAGCCGGTGACAGTGGCACCTGCCTTGTCACCCAAAAGCTCCCAGCCACCTGAGACTTGCACAGGCAAACACAGAAAAGTTCTCTCTCTCTCTCTCTCTCTGTTCTCCCCTCCCCCAGACAATCGCTGGGGTCCCAGCACAGAGGACTTAAGAGCAGCAACCTCACGTGGGGCCCCTCAGCCTGAACAAGACGGGGTGAACCAGCAGTGGTACTCAGGGAGGCGCCCCCCCCCCCCGCCTTGGGCAGCACCGGAAGCAAGGGGGAAAGGCTGATAAGGCGACTGGCCCAGGTTGGGGACAACCACGAGACAGGAAGACTCGGGGACCGGCAGGGGCCCCTCACCTCCTCCCACCCACACCCCAGGGAGCCTCACCTGTGGCCCGGCTGTACAGCTCGTTGATCTCCATGTGGGGCTGGCCACTCTTCCCCTCGGGCACCTGCAGCTCCTTCCTCTGCCCCAAGGGGAGGAGGCCGGGGTCTCAGCACCTCTGCTGCCCTCCAGGCTGTCCTCCAACCCCTGAGCCCCTCGTGCACTCTCTGGACCCCCTCGTGCACTCTCTGGACCGGGCTGCCAACTCCAACACCCTGACCTGGACGTTCTAACACCTGCTCACCGGAAGTGGCCAGGGCCCCCCCCACCGCCCCCCCCCACCCCTTCTGAACGACTCACGGGGAAAGCCAGCAGACAGATGGCCTGCAGCCAGTCACTGCGCTCTGCCGTGGGGGCTGCCAGGAGGTACAGGCGCTCCTTGGTCTCCAGGAGGAAGGCGCTGGTGTCCCGGGGGCTGCTGGCCTCGGAGCCGGCCTCGGCCACCCGCAGGCAGTCACTGAGGCGGATGACCCTCCGGCCAGCATCTCCCCGACGTGTCTTCTCTGGGCCCTCCTGGAGCTCCAGGCGGGCCAAGGCGCAGCCCGACTCCGCGTACAGCACGGCCCCGAACCGGCGCCATTTCTGAACCCAGATGCGTGGGAGAGGGAGCACCGGGAGGGAGCCACCCAGAGAGAGAGAGAGAGAGAGAGAGAGAGAGAGAGAGAGAGCTTGTGACCACAGGGAAGGGGGGCTTGCACGGGAGATGGGGACGGATAGGGAGGCAGAGAGGGTAACTGGGCCCACGGAGTGCGAGGACAGGAGATGGGCCAGAAGCAACAGAGAGGCTGCTGAAGGCAGCAGGAGGCACAGCAGTGAGCTGCAGGGGGAGCAGGCTGCGAGCAGCGGGAAGCCCGCCCTGCAGGTGCTGGTCTAGGGAAGAGCACCAGTGAGCTCCAGAGGTAGAGGAGGGGTTGGGGGGAGCGCCAGGGGCCTGCCCTGGACATGTTCACAAGAGAGGGCCTGTCTCCAGAAAATTCTCTCCGGGCCCCCTGAAGTTTTCTGCTTGACAGGTAGGGCGTGGAGGGGAGTGGAGGGAAAGGGGAGAGAAACAGAGACTGACTGGGTGGGTCCGCTGGGGACAAGACTTCCTCATTCAAGGAGGCCAGGAGAGGAGGAGGAGGTTGGACGCCCTGAGGCTGCAGCTCCCAGAGGCCCCTGACCTGCTTAATGCCAGCCAGACACTCCCCCCTCCACAAGGTGGGGAAAGTGAGGGAGACCCTCCAGCATCGTCCCGGATTGCCCCCCACCCCATGCCTTCCATCCCTGTCCAAGCTGCCCCAGGAGAGGAAGTCGAGAGAGAGCACAAGAACGCAGGAGCTAAGTCAGCACCCTCCTTCCTCTCCACCCCCGCCTGCGCCACGGGGCCTGGCTTGGGAGGCAAGCATGGTAAGGAAAGAGCCTGCCTGAGCTGGAACGCCGGCATAGTCCCCACAGAGGGATTGGGAGCCTGGAGCTCCCTCCAGCCCCTGCACCCAGCCCCTGCGCCCAGCCCCTGCGCCCAGCCCGGCTCCCACCTTCGCAAACGCTTGGTGCTGCTGCAGGTACAAGCAGCCCTGCTTCACAGCCACGGCCTCCATCGTCTCACCATCTCGGGCCCCTGGCGTCCACTCCCTCCTTCCACTCCGCCCTCTGCCTCTCCCCTCTCTTCTCAGCCTGTGTTCCCCCTTCTCGCAAGTTCAAGTTCATTTCCTCTCTGCCTAGGGTTTTCTGCACTGTTCTAGCCTGCTCGCTGACGACAGGCCGATAGGCTTGTGGTTTCTTGCTCTGCGTGCGTGTGTGTGTGTGTGTGTGTGTGTGTTTGGTTTCTGATGAGTGAGCTTCACACTCAAGCTTCCTGCATTTCCAGCCACTAAGAAATAATGTCCCCAAAAAGCCAAATTCCAGCTCCTCCAAGAGCAGCAACTCAGGGACACGGGACGGCATGGGGAGTCACCAGAGAGAGCGGCTGCCACCCAAGAACAGTGAGGCCCAGAAACCCGGTCCGCGAGTCAGACTCAGAGCAGCAGGCCCCAGGCCCCAGGCCCCAGGCCCCGGCTGGCTGCTGCTGAGCACCCCCGAGCTGGAAGAGGCCTTAGAAAGCAACGGGCCCAAGTCACTTAGAAACGAGGAAACCCAGGCTCACAGCGGGGTCTCGGCACTTGCTCAAGGTCGTCAAGCTGGAAGCCAGGTCTCTCAACTGGCTGAGGGCTGCAGCACACTCAGCACTGCACACACACACCCCTTCCCACTCCGTGGGAACACTGCCTCACCCTGCCCACCGCCCGCCCACACGGTCTGGAACCAGGGACATCCCCTCTGGAGCCAGCACTGACTGCCAGCAAGTGCATCTCAGCTGTTGGATCTCACCTTTTTTCCAGGCTTTGGGAGCATCAGGAAGTCACAGGGCTCATCTGGAAGTGATTAAAAAAATTTATTATTTATTTGAAAGGTAGAGTTACACACGGTGGGAGAGAGAGAGAGAGGGAGAGAGAGAGAGAGAGAGAGAGAGAGAGAGAGAGAGAGAATCTTCCATCTGCTGGCTCACTCCCCAAATGGCCTCAACAGCCAAGGCTGCGTCAGGTTGAAACCAGGAGCCAGGAGCCTCATCTGGGTCCCCACGTGGGTGCAGGGGCCCAGGCACTTGGGCCATCTTCTACTGCTTCCCCAGGCCATAGCAGGGAGCTGGAAGGAAAGTGGAGCAGCCGGGACTTGAACACCATATGGGATGACGGCATCACAGGCAGTGGCTTAACCTGCACCACAACAGGGGGTCCTGCAAACATGATCTATGTAGCAACAACTTCAATATAGATATTTTGTTTGTTTGTTTTTTTGTTTGTTTTTTTTGACAGGCAGAGTGGACAGAGAGAGAGAGAGAGACAGAGAGAAAGGTCTTCCTTTGCTGTTGGTTCACCCTCCAATGGCCGCCGTGGCCGGCGCACCACGCTGATCCGAAACCAGGAGCCAGGTGCTTATCCTGGTCTCCCATGGGGTGCAGGGCCCAAGCACTTGGGCCATCCTCCACTGCACTCCTGGGCCACAGCAGAGAGCTGGCCTGGAAGAGGGGCAACCGGGACAGAATCCGGCACCCCGACCGGGACTAGAACCTGGTGTGCCGGCGCCGCAAGGCGGAGGATTAGCCTATTGAGCCACGGCACCGGCCCAATATAGATATTTTTAAAAGTTTTATTTATCTTATTGGAGAGGCAAAGAGAGAAGCAGGGACAATGAGCTCTCATCTGCTAGTAAAACAGCCAGGACGGAGCCAGGCTGGCATTACGAACGGGGAACTCAATCCAGGTCTCCCGTGTGGGTAGCAGGGACCTGAGCACCCACTGAGCCGTCACTCCTGCTTGCCCGGGGAAACAGGAACAGAAAGCTGGAATCAGAAGCAGGGCTGGGGCTTGAACCCAAGCACTCTGGAGTGACATGGCTTAACAGTTAGGCCAAACTCACCCTCTCCTCCCATACATATTCTAAAATGCTTCACAGTTCACGTTCACCAGCCACACAGTCACCTAACGAAGGCAGACCAGGTCTGAACACACCTGCTGGCAGCTTGCTGAGAGCCGCAGAGCCAGCTGGGAGGCTGTGGAGGACGCAGAGCCCAGGGCGCCTGGTTGATTGATTTTCTGAAAGGCAGAGTTACAGACAAGGAGAGACGGAGATCGTCCATCTGCTGGTTCACTCTCCAAATGGCCACAACAGCCAGGGCTGTGCCAGGCAGGAGCCAGGAGCATCATCCGGGTCTCCCACGTGGGTGCAGGGGCCCAAGCACTTGGGCCATCTTCTGCTGCTTTCCCAGGCCATTGCAGAGAGCAGGATCGGAAGTGGAGCATCCGGGACACCAACCAGAAACCACATGGGATGCCAGCGTCGCAGACAGGCCCAGCTCCAGATCTTTAATTCAGTTTTGTTGGGCCCCAGCTGGAATCTAGACCCTGTGCAAGTAGATGAATTGCCTTGAGAAATCCAAGCTCCTGGGATGGCTGAGGTCTGCGGAGAGTGCTCAGTCACCAGCTCGCTGCCCGCAGCTCTGCCACATGGGTTAGTTAGCACAGGCTGAGCCCCCAGCCCAAGGGAGACTAAGCCACTGTTAGGGGAGACGCACGCACCTGGGGACGTGGTTAGGCGTGTGGAGATGGGACACGGCCCGTTCTGTGATTCCGTGTCGCTAGTCCCAAAGGAGACCCAGCTCCGCCTGTGGAGCGGGAGGGGACGGGCGTGTGAGGCCCCCCCGCGGAACTCTGAGGGCAGAGCTTGCTGAAAGCGCCAGTTCTGGGGCAGCTTTGCGCCCCAACACGAGAGCTTGTTTCTCCACCGCTCCCATCGCCCAAGCGGTCATATTCCACCCGGAACCACAGGGGGGCACCCGAGTTTACCAGACGACACCAACACTTGACACCTGGAGGCCTGAGCCCCAGGTAAGGCACGCACCCCTTTCCCCTCCTTGCCGGACTTGGTCCATATCCGCGGCCTGCAGCAAGAGGGCGACACAGCCACACGGCTGTGGCCCTCGGAGGCCCTTGCGACTCCACCTGGGGCCCCTGGAGAGCAGCGCTCACCCAGGAGAGGGCAATCCTGGACACAGGGCCCCACAGACTCAGCTCTAAGACACAGCAGAGGGGCAGAGAAGTAGGGGGAGGCCCTAGGCATTCCCGGCATCAGTGAGGGGAAGAGAAAGTGTTGGAAAGGATCCTACAGAGGCTTCCACGCGGCACAGGTGGGGCTTGGAGTCGCCCTTGACTACTCTTTGCTTTGACTGGAAAGGAAGGGGCACCCTAAACCCCACGCGTGCCTCAGGTATTGGCTGCTGGGACCCTTTCTTTCATAGTGGTTTCTCTCAGCAGGAGAGAGGACTCAACACAGGTCAGAAACCAGGGCTCCAGGGTCCTGTTCTCCTGCAGGGATGATAACGGATCCCCACACGAAGGACTTGCAGTAAAGAAAGAAGCAGAGACTGCCTCCGGCTCCCCCACTGGCTCGGGGATCAGGTGGCCAGCAACAGGTGTACAAGGGGGCACTCCCCGAGGAACAGCCCACAGGAAGACATGCAGGATGGGTAGCGAGCGGACCAAGGACGGAGCAGAGGAGCGAGTGTGCAGAGGTTCCGCAAGGTCCCATCCGTGCCTCCTGCACCCCCACTGGCTCCTGGCCATGCGGGGAAGCTCAAGCCCAGTTTCTTTCTGGGCCTGCACCACCTCTCGCCATTACGTCCATCGCTTCTCCCAGCACTAAGACGGAGGAGAGCCTAGAGATCTTACCTAACACTGGCATAAAACTTCAAGGGCTTAATGTTCAATATGAGCCCTGCCCCCAAACCCAGAATGAGACGGAGACACAAAGAAGTGACGTTCAACAATCATTTACTGGGGCTGGTGCTGTGGCATAGCGGGTAAAGCTGCCGTCTGCAGTGCCGGCATCCCATATGGGCACCGGTTCTAGTCCTGGATGCTCCACTTCCAATCCAGCTCTCTGCTGTGGCCTGGAAAAGCAGTGGAGGATGGCCCAGGTCCTTGGGTCCCTGCTCTCACGTGAGAGACCGGGAAGAAGCCCTGGCTCCTGATTGGTGCAGCTCCAGCCATTGCAGTCATCTGGGGAGTGAATCAGTGGATGGAAGATTCTCTCTCTCTCTGCCTCTCTCTCTGTAACCCTGCCTTTCAAATAATAGTAATTAAAATTTAATTAAAAAATTAAAAAAATCATTTACTGAACACCAGCTCTCTGTTGAGGTACTGGGGACATAGGATAAATAAGACAAACAAACAGAATCCCTATTTTCCTTGTGTAGTTCGAGCTGGTGAGCCTGATAATGAGAAGACTAGGTAGGTCACGTCACACAAACAGGGGTCAGTGTCGTAGGACAGTGATGAGGTCGGGGACGACTTTCCAGACGGCGGGAAGAAGACCCCTCTGGGGTGACAGCTGAGGCACGAAGGCAGCACTCCTGGCATGAGTTACTGTGAGTGCAAAGGTCCTGGGGCAGGAACACCCTGCCTAGGAGGAACTGCAGAGAAGGCCAGAATGACCAGAGCACGTTGAGCAAGTAGGGATATGGGAGAGACAAGGTCAGGATGGACAGGTGGCCTCTCGGGCTACGGCAAAGACTTGGGCTCTCAACCAGCAGGTCCAGGATTTTAAGCAGCGATGTGAATTATCTGGATTACAATAGAAGCAACACTGCTGTCCCGCAGCTGTAGGGATAACAGATTATCCGGGAGCAAGGCAGCAGGCAGGGAAACTAGTCTGGAATCTACAACCAGAGCCCAGGAGAAACGTCATGGTGGCCCGGGTGGGGTGTTCTCGGTGGCCAGATCTGGGTGGGTGTGTGTCAGCCAGATTCATCCGGGCTTGCCAGCAGATTGGCTGAGTGTGTGTGCGCCTTGAGGATCAAGATAACTCCCGGGCGTCTGTTTTGTGAGCTGGTGAGGCAGGGCAGTGAGAGACACAGCAAGCGACAAGTGGGTGAGGTGCAGGGTGGATGAGCCCGGACAGCTCTGGGCCTAGAGCAGCAGGAAGTGGTCACCTCTGCTCCAATCGGTCAAGCAGGGAACGCAAAGGTTGCCAGTGCAGTTGTGGCTCCGGGAACACTCCACTGCAGAGCAATCGATTCAGGTTCCGACCCCGCCGCCCCTGTCTCCCGGCACGCATGGCGCTCCATGATTGGACATCTCAGGGGCCGGGCTTGCCAGAAGCAACGGTCAGCAGCTCTGCCTCGCTCCTGCCTCCCAAATCCCCTAAATCGATCCTATTGGCAGTCTAACCTAGCGCAGCAAACCCCCAGCTGCAGGGACACCTGGGAAATGTAGTTTTTAGGTGCGTCCTACCTTGACCAACCAGGAAGACGCACTAGAAAGGAGGTCGGCAGCGGCGGCCACGATCGCCCAGTGCCAGTCCACTGCACCCCCAGTGTGAAGGGCCACTCGCCCCCACCCGAGGCGCCGGGTCAGCCGTGGAAGCCGGAGAGCGGCGCTCCGTGGCAGCGGCAGGGACAGGGACCCCACCCCACCGCCCCCACCCCAGCATCTGAGCCCCCTCGGGAGGCTGCGTGTGCTACCCCTCTCTCTGCGCGGGCCATCGCCGCAGAGCAGGACGGCAACAGGAACCCGGAGCTGGTTCTCTGGAGGACGCGGCCCCCGCGGCGCGGGAGGGCTCCCCGCCGGGAGAGGCGGCGCCACAGCTCGGCCCGTCCCTCTGCGCGCCGACCCCCGGCCCGCGCCCGCCCGAGCAGCGCGGCCCCTTTAAGCCCCATGTAAACAAAGCTTTGTTCCCCCGGCGCCCCCGCCTCCGCGCTCCCCCGGCCCGGCGTCCCCGGGCCGCTGACGTCGCGCGCGCCTCGACGCCGTCCCGGCGCCGCTGCGCATTCTCCAACCCGGGCTCGCGCCGCCGCGGCCTGCGCAGCCGAGCGACGCTACGCCGCGAGCGCAGCGCGACGGGCCCCCAGCGCGCAGGCGCAGCGGCGACGGCGGCGGCGGCGGCGGCGACGGTGGCGGCGGCGGCGGCCCCGGCCGAGGTGCGCGCCGGGGGGGAGGGGGGGCCGGAGAGGAGCATGAATGGAGCAAAATGGCGGATCATGTGCAGGTGAGAGGAGCGGCGAGGGGGAGGGGGCGGCCGCGGGGGTGCGGAGTGGGGCGGGGGGCGCACGCGGCCCTCGGGCTCGCGAGGCCGCGCCGCCGCCGCCGCCCGTCCCGGAGCTCCGGGGCCTTTCCCGCCTCCCGGGCCGGAGGGGGGGCCTCTGCCATCCCCTCCCACCCGGCCGCACGCCCGGCCGGCGGGGCCGCTGGGGCAGGGCCCCGGCGTGCTCAGCCCACGCCGCTCGGCAGCCCCGTGCCTGCCCCGCTGGAGGGAGGCCTCCGCGCGAGTCCTCGGCACCCCCACGCCCCACACACGCACACGCGGGCGCGCGGGAGGAGGGGGTCCCCGCCGGCCCCCCCACGCTAACAAAAAGAGGACCTCGCGCGGGCCACCCGCTCCCCACACTGTTTCCCGCCACCTTCGTCCCCCTGGCGGCCCCGGCCCCGGCCCCGGCCCCTCGCGCCCACCCTGCGAGTCGCAGGCCCCGGCCGCGGTGCGGGAGCCGCGGGGTGCAGGGGGTGTGTCCGCCGCGAGCCCGGCGGGCGCGGGGGTCGGCGCGGGCCCTGGGAGGGGGCAGTGCAGCGCCCGGTCCTGCAGCCTGGACGAAGTTCCTCCCCTCCGCGCCCCGCGGCGCGTGTTCCTGTGACAGTGGCCGGGGCGCCTCTGGATCCCGCCGTGCGGGTCTGGGTCTGCGGGGAGTGACTGAGAAGTGTGGCCTTCGCCCCTTAGAGGGGACCGGGCTGGCTGCCGATGCGTCCGGGACTTGGAGGGTTAGGTCTTGGAAGCGTGAGGGCGGAATGGCATCCAGAAACTTCACCGCGAGCCGCGTGAAGTTGGAAGGCCGGCACCGTGGCCTCGTTCAGGACGATGCACACAAGGCGGCAACAGTACTGACAGCAGCGTGGCACCTTGCGCTTGTGGCTGTCCTCTGAGAAGCCTGCGGGTCTATGAAGCGGCTTTATTTTGCACGTTCAGAGTAAGTAGGCACAGAGTGGCTCCTTAAGTAACTTTAAAGGAGTCGCAGAAGCGAGACTCAGGATTGGCTTGGGTGACGGTTTGTCAGGCTGCGTGGACCAAAGTCTGCGGATGGGACTCCGGGAGTCGACCTCTGGGGGGAGGACCCAGTGTTCCTGTCAGTGGCTGGTAGCCTTTCCCAGGGACGCTGTGGGATGCAGGGGAAGCCAGTGCTTTTCGTGAATATGCGTCTGTTCTGTCTCCTGTCAGGAATGAACTCTCGATGTGATTCCCATCTTGGAAGCAAAAACGTTGTTATCCCTATGAGGACGTTGAAATATGTCAAAGCAACGTTCATTGCGTTGTTTGCTCCATGGAGGGTCTGTTTGATTTTTAGTATGGAGACCCAAAACAATTAGGAAGATGAGAAGTTGCTAACTTTTTTTTTTTAAATAAAGATTTATTTATTTATTTGAAAGAGTTTCACAGAGAGAGGAGAGGCAGAGAGAGAGAGAGAGAGAGGTCTTGCATCTGATGCTTCACTCCCCAGTTGGCCACAACAGCCGGAGCTGCATTGATGCGAAGCCAGGAGCTTCTTCCGGGTCTCCCACGTGGGTGCAGGGATCCAAGCACTTGGGCCATCTTCTACTGCTTTCCCAGGACACAGCAGAGAGCTGGATCAGAAGTGGAGCAGCCAGGACCAGAACCGGCACCCATATGGGATGCTGGCGCTTCAGGCCAGGGCTTTAACCCGTTGCGCCACAGCGCCGGCCCCAAGAAGTTATTAACTTTTCACATTGAAGGGGAGTATGTTGGATACTGTTTTATTTTTACTCTTTGTTTACTTTTTAAAAAATATTTGCTTATTTAAAAGAGTAACAGAGAGAAAGGAGGAGAACAGAGATCTGCCATCCGCTGGTTCACTCCCCAGATGGCCACCTCTGCCAGCACTGGACCAGGCGGAAGCCAGGAGCTTCTTCCAGGTCTCCCACGTGGGTGCAGGGGCCCAAGGACTTGGGCCATCTTCTACTGCTTTCCCAGGCACAGCAGAGAGCTGGATTGGAAGTGGAGCAGCCGGGACGGGAACTGTTGCCCATATGGGATGCCGGCACTGCAGGCAGCAGCTTCACCCACTAGGCCACACACGAGTCTCCTTTATTTGCCTTCAAGAGCTGTGATGTGTTACTCCAGATTGGTGGTTAGTGGTCCTTCTATCAACAGGATGCATTTGTGAATGAATTTTTCCTCTTTAGAGCAGAACAGTCTGCTCTCCTTGGGGACCACTAAGTTAATTTTGGTGTTGGATACCTTGAGAATTCATGGTGGCAGAAAAGCCTCTCGGGAAAGGTACGCCAGGCCCCAGGTGGGAGGAGTAGGTAGATGCCAGGCCCCAGGTGGGAGGAGTAGGTAGATGCCAGGCCCCAGGTGGGAGGAGTAGGTAGATGCCAGGCCCCAGCAGAGGCCGCTCAGCAGAGGCACGGTGCGGGCTGCTCCTAGCACCGCTGGAAAGTGGAGTTCTCAGAGTCCATCACAGATCAAGATGCTGGTGGTCTGGAAGTTGGGTACGTAGATCTGCGAAGTTGATTGAATCGTGATGTGTCTTGTACTTTTCTCAACGTTGTTAGAGTTGATGCTAAGCAGTGTCATGTGAAGGCTGAAGTGTTGCACGTCATCTCTATTAGTGCAGGTATCTTTTTTGTTGTTTAATATTTATTTATTTGAGAGGCAGAGTTACAGAGAGGGGAAGAGGCAGAGGACTTCCATCTGCTGGTTCCCTCCCCAGATGGCCACAGCAGCTGGAGCTGGGCTGGTCGGGCGCCAGGAGCTTCTTCCAGGTATTCTGTGTGGGTGCAGGGGCCCAAGCACTTGGATCATTCTCCACTGCCTTCCCAGCCTCCCACATCAGCAGGGAGCTGGATCCGGAAGAGGAGCAGCTGGGACATAACCAGCGCCCAGTGCGAAGCCAGTGCCGCAGGTGGAGGCTTAACTGCTACAGCACAGTGCGGGCCCCTAGAATGTGTGCTTTACTGAAGGTTTTAAGTGCCGTGAATCTTCACTGGGGGAAGAATGAGAGCATCTGATTTGTCTCCTAGCCCCATCTGTAGGAGATGGCCTGAAGCAACCCATTGCTGTGATGGGCTTGCTTGCTTTTCTTTTCTTTTCTTTTTTTTTTTTTTTTTGTTGTTGTTGTTGTTGACAGAGTTATAGACCGTGAGCGAGAGAGAGACAGCGAGAAAGGTCTTCCTTCCATTGGTTCACCCCCCAAATGGCCACCACGGCCAGCACTGCGCCGATCCGAAGCCAGGAGCCAGGTGCTTCCTCCTGGTCTCCCATGTGGATTCAGGGCCCAAGGCCCTGGGCCATCCTCCACTACCTTCCCGGGCCACAGCAGAGAGCTGGACTGGAAGAGGAGCAACCGGGACTAGAACCCAGTGCCCATATGGGATGCCGGTGCCGCAGGCGGAGGATTAACCAAGTGAGCCACAGCACCAGCCCCCGTGATGGGGTTTCTTACTCTTGGCTTCAGATAACCTTATCTGACTCCTACCAGAGAGGCCGGCGTGCAAAGCATTGCCAGGCAAGGACAGGCTCAGATTCATTTTGTATCCAGTCGTCTTCAGTTGGCCCTCCTTCCACTGCAGAGACAAATCTCAGGTTGAATGAAGATACTGAGGAGGACAGCACCATGGCTCACTAGGCTAATCCTCCGCCTAGCGGCGCCGGCACACCAGGTTCTAGTCCCGGTCGGGGTGCCGGATTCTGTCCCGGTTGCCCCTCTTCCAGGCCAGCTCTCTGCTGTGACCCAGGAAGGCAGTGGAGGATGGCCCAGGTGCTTGGGCCCTGCACCCCATGGGAGACCAGGAGAAGCACCTGGGTCTTGGCTTCGGATCAGCGCGATGCGCCGGCCGCAGCGCGCCAGCCATGGCGGCCATTGGAGGGTGAACCAACGGCAAAAAGGAAGACCTTTCTCTCTGTCTCTCTCTCTCACTGTCCACTCTGCCTGTCAAAAAAAAAAAAAAAAAGATACTGAGGATTCCGCGTCTTCTGTGCTGGCTGGTCTTGGCAGGGCAGCAGCCCAGCCCTCCGTGGAGGACGAGAGAGTGTTGGCTTCAGTAGTGGCGCTTGAGAGGAAAAGGAGACGTGTCTGAATTGGGTTTGACTTGAGTGTGTTAACTGATCATTACACGTGAGTAATTCTGGGGGTTTGTGTGAAGCGTTCTGTTCCCAGGGCTCTACCCGGAGTCTTCAGGTGTTGCTGGCTGCTTTCTGCATTACTGCTGTAGTACAGAATAATTTCAAAGTAGTCCTGGTTTTGCGTTTCAGATGCAGTGATTAAACATTGACTGCTGGTGTAACTCTGCTAGCAGGTTAAAATGTAACAAGGGTGCAGAAATTTAGCCAGATCATAGCAAAACCTGGTTGTCTTTGTGGCTTTCACCATGGGTAGTCCATTTTGGGAAGGGAGTCCTGGACAGCTTTGGAGAATTTTAAGTGGAAAAATCAGTAACTTCTGTAACTTTTTTCGGTTAAAATAATACAGTCCCAGAATTTGCTTGGTGTGTGCAAGGCCCTTTGCGGAAGATTCAGAGGGGACACTGGGTAGACTGCTGAGGGTCGCGTTCGGAAGCACAAGTTAGCATGAGTGTGCTGATTGCCACATGTGCCATATTGTGTTGGGTGCTGTTGGAATAGCCACATCCCTCCCTCACCTGCAACTCTGCCTGACAACCTGGATCTAGCTTTTTTGTGGAATAATACTGTCTATGGTTTTTTTTTTCTTAAAGATTTGTTTATTTTATTTGAAAGGCAGAGTTACAGAGAGGCAAAGAGAGACAGAGATCTTCCATCCGCTGGTTCACTCCCCAGATGGCCGCAAGAGCTGAAGCTGCCCCGATCCAAAGCCAGGAGCTTCTTCCAGGTCTCCCATGCCGGGTGCAGGGGCCCAAGGACTTGGGCCATCGTCTGCTGCTTTCCCAGGCCATAGCAGAGAGCTGGATCGGGAGTGGAGCAGCCAGGACACAAACCGGCGCCTAAATGGGATGCCGGCACTGCAGGCAGCAGCTTTACCTGCTACACCACAGTGCCGGCCCCCTGTCTATATTTTAAAAGAACATACTGAGGCAGGCATTTGGCTTAATGGTAAAGACCCTCACATCCCATATCAGAGTACCTGGGTTTGAGCTGCAGCTCCTGACTACAGCTCAGAGAATTGAGTTTCTGCCATCCATCCACATGGGAGACCTGGACAGAGTTGCCAGCTCCTGGCTTTGCAGGCATTTGGGGAGTGAGCCAGCAGGTGGGCGAGTGCTCATTTTGTCTCACTCTCTCTCTCTCTGCCTTGCAGATAAACTAAAGAACATATTCATGCTTACTTTGTAACTCTGACCTTTAGTGTATTTTCTCTTGAGAAAAATGAAGGAATGTATGTGTGTGTGTGTATATATATATATGTATATGCAAGTAGTATCGTTTGAGCACTTACACAGTAAAACACCAGCTATGTTACTGTGATGGATGACCTCTAATTTACATGGGTGGAGTGGAAAGACGTATCAAGAAGATCGCTGCTCTGTCTTACAGAGAAGGGAGCTTCCATTTGATCCAGAAATTGATGTGCATCATCGCCAGCTGTATTTTCTTTCTTAGTTGGGTTTTGAGAGCAATATTGTACCACAGTCCTTTGAGGAGGGAGAGTTGCCAATTTAAACCAATAAGCTAATGGCTCTCTGTAGGTACAACTACCGAGCCTACTTTGCTCGCTTCATTATTGTGAGGAAGAGAATCTTTGAAATCGCATCTTTTTTTTTAAACACCGAACGTTTATTATCTGGGAGTGGCTCATCCAGAGGGTTCTGGGCTCTCCTTTAAGGTGAGCTGTCAGCTGGTACTGCAGTCAGTTTCAAGGCCTGCTTTCCAGTTCCCTAGCGTGGTCCTCGGTAGACCTCAGTCACTTGCAGGCTGGCGGCCCGAGATCCCAGCTCCGCTCTGACTGTGGTCTGGGGGCCTCTGCGGGTGCATCAGTTTTAAGGACTTTTTTAAAGTCTCTACTGGTGTCCTTTCTGTTTTAAGTGACATCTTTGTTATATATTTTTAATTTCTTATTGAAATCTCATTTGCCTACAGGTAGGGACAAAAATCCCCAGTGTTCAGCTTGATGGATTTTTTACAAGGTAAACACTGCTTTGTAACCAGCACCCAAATCAATAGATGTTATCAGTGCCCAGGAGTCCTCTTGGTGCTCTCCCCCACCACCCCAGCCTGCCACGAGTAACTGCCTATACCTCATACTACCCTGTCGTTTGATTTTTTTTTTTTTTTTTTGACAGGCAGAGTGGACAGTGAGAGAGAGAGACAGAGAGAAAGGTCTTCCTTTCGCCGTTGGTTCACCCTCCAATGGCCGCCGTGGCCGGCGCACCGTGCTGATCCGATGGCAGGAGCCAGGTGCTTTTCCTGGTCTCCCATGGGGTTCAGGGCCCAAGCACTTGGGCCATCCTCCACTGCACTCCCTGGCCACAGCAGAGAGCTGGCCTGGAAGAGGGGCAACCGGAACAGAATCTGGCGCCCCGACCGGGACTAGAACCCGGTGTGCCGGCGCCGCAAGGCGGAGGATTAGCCTAGTGAGCTGCGGCGCCGGCCCTGTTGTTTGATTTTTAAACACGCTTTCAGAATTCGAGAGTAAGCTTCAGGCTAGGTGCAGAAGTAGTAGTTAGTAAGCTTTGAGACATCTTTGTTTTTTCATGAAGAATCTGGTGGAAGTTGCCGATGCCCTGGCGGGGGCTGGGACACAAATACCGCTGCACCAGATTTTGCCTACAGCCGAAGAATGTTCATGAGCCTTGACTTCAGGGTTGTCCCTTTTTGATGAAAATGTTGATGTTTTATTAAGAAGCTGATTTACAGATATTTCTCTTTTGACATATTTGAAGGGTCAGTGTCACATAGTATGTGTTCCAGGGCAGTTACATGCAAGATGAATTGTTTAAATTTTAATTTAATTCAATGTAATTTGAAGAGAGAGAGAGCTTTCCCATCTCTTGCTGAGCCTCCCGTGTGGGTGGCAGATCTGACCATCAGAGCCAGCACCTGCTGCCACTTGGGGTTTTTACCTGCAGAAAGGTGGAATCAGATGTGGAGCCAGGACCCAGATCCAGGCTCTGATAATGGGACTTAAGCATCCCAAGTTGCCACTTTTTTTCTTTTTTTTTTTAAGATTTATTTATTGGGGCCAGCGCTGTGCTGCAGCAGGTGAAGCCGCCACCTGCGGTGCTGGCACCCCAAGTGGGCACCGGTTCGGGTCCCACTTCCAGTCCAGCTCTCTGCTATGGCCTGGGAAAGTAGTAGAAGATGACCCAAGTCCTTGGGCCCCTGCACCTGTGTGGGAGACCTGGAAGAAGCTCCTGGCTCCTGGCTTCGGATGAGTGAGCTCTGGCTGTTGTGGCCAATTGGGAAATGAACCAGCAGATGGAAGACCTCCCTCCCTCCCTCCCTCTCTCCCTCTCTCTCTCTCTCTCTCTCTCTCTCTGCCTCTCTCTGCCTCTCTGTGACTCTGCCTTTTTTTTTTTTTTTTTTTTTTTTTTTTTTGCCAGGCAGAGTTAGAGTTATAGACAGTGAGAGAGAGACAGAGAGAAAGGTCTACCTTCCATTGGTTCATTCCCCTAATGGCTGCTACAGCCAGTGCTGCACCGATCCGAAGCCAGGAGCTGGGTACTTCTTCCGGGTCTCCCATGCGGGTGCAGGGACCCAAGCACTTGGGCTGCCCTCCCGGGCAACAGCAGAGCGCTGGACTGGAAGAGGAGTAACTGGAACTAGTACCCGGCTCCCCAGCCGGGACCAGAACCCAGGGTGCTGATGCCGCAGGCGGAGGATTACCCTAGTGAGCCATGGCGCCGGCCATGACTCTGTCTTGCAAATAAATAAATAAATCTTAAAAAAAAAAAAAGAACATTTTAAAAATATTTATTTATTTGAAAGGCAGAGTCAGAGAGAAAGAGAGACGGAGAGAGGTCTTCTGTCTGCTGGTTCACTTCCCAAACGGCCACGACAGCTGGACCTGGGCCACTGTGACACCACACCAGGAGTTTTTTTTGTTTGTTTTTTGTTTTTGTTTGTTTGTTTGTTTTTTGAAGATTTATTTTATTTACTTGACAGGCAGAGTTACAGAGAGAGGTAGAGACAGAGAGGTCTTCCATCTGCTAGTTCACTCCCCAGATGGCCACAACGGCCAGAGCTGCACTGATCCGAAGCCAGGAGCAAGGAGCTTCTTCTGGGTCTCCCACGTGGGTGCAGGGGCCATCTTCCTATCCCAGGCTATCCCAGGCCATAGCAGAGAACTGGATTGGAAGAGGAGCAGCCAGGAATAGAACCGGTGCCCATATGGGATGCCGGCGCTTCAGGCCAGGGCATTAACCCACTGCGCCACAGCTGCTGGCTCCCCAGGAGCTTCTTATGGGTCTCCCACATAGGTACAGGGGCCCAGGAACATGGGCCATCCTCCACTGCTTTCCTAGGTGCATTAGAAGGGAGCTGGATTGGAAATGGAGCAGCCAGGACGAACCAGCGCCCATATGGGATGCCAGCATAGCAAGCAGTGGCTTTACCCGCTATGCCACAGCACTAGCACGCTCCCCGCCCTGCCCCCCATTCCAGGTGCCATCTTAACCTCTACACCAAACGCCTGTCTCAGCAAACTGAAGTTTCAAATACTGAACTATATTCTTCATGATGTTTAATAGTGGCCATTAAGCATCTACTAATGATCTGTTACTGCTGTGCAGACACATGGAAAGAAGTAGAAGACATGGTCTCCTGCTTCCAGGGGCTTTGCCTTTGAACTGGGAAGATAAAAGTAGCTCGGATTATTGCGTCGGGAGTTTGTGGTGAGACCGTGATTTTGTCTTCGTGTTTGAGTGAACCTGTTACCTTCGCCTCCATTGCAGTCCGCCTGAGGAACACAGTTACTCCTCACCTTGATTCTGACTCACTAACAGGGAGTTCTCAGTGCAGTGAGGCTGGAACGTGGCCGCAGGGGCATAGCAAAATCTTGGGGAGAGATAGGAGTTACAAAAATACAGTCCTGAGCATTTCCGTTTGCCCTTCACAGCTTCATGTGTGTTTGTGTGTGTACACACATGTGAGCATGCACACATCTGCCATAATAGAGAAAGGATGTGTTTGAGGAAAGAATGACAGTGTCACACTAGCATTAATCGGATTTTTAGCTGCTTGCTACTTTATACGATCTCATTTGATGCCCACAGCAACTCCATCGTAAGGTGGACATTGTAGAAATAATTAAAATGGGAGTTTTTCTTTTTTAAATTTTTTGCTTACTTGAGATACCAGCAGAAACAAATGGCCACAGTGGCCGGGGCTGGGCTGGACCAAAGCCAGGAGCCAGAAATGCATTTCAGGTTTCCCTTGAGTGACAGGAACCTGATTGAGCCATCACCACCGTCTCTCAGGCACTGCATTAGCAGGAAGCTGGAACTGGGGCAAGAGCTGGATTTGAACCCAGGCACTCCAATATGGGGCATGGATGAACCACTCACTAGGCAAAGCACCCATTCTGGAGTTTTTCTTGAAATTGATTGACTAAAAGACCAAGAGTCCTTGGAACATTTGGATGATGATCGTGGTGGTGGTAGTTATTGTAAAATTTAATGTAGTTAAGGTTGATGGAGTTAGTTGGGGAGTGGGGAAAGAGAATGCTGACGTCTGACCCTTTAGGAAAAAGGGTGCTGACTTCTGGTATCTTCTTTGGTGATGTGCTCTCAAATCTGTCGTCTTGACTTTTGGGTGGAAGCGGGGCTAACTCAGTATGTTCCTTTCCTTTTCTTTTTTTATTCAATCTATTTGAAAGGCAGAGTCACGAAGAGGCAGAGAGCGAGCGAGGTCTTCCATCCTCTGGTTCACTCCCCTAATGGCCACAGCTGCCAGAGCCGGGCCGATCTGAAGCCAGGAGCTTCTTTCCGGTCTCCCACATGGGTGCAGGGGCCCAAATACTTGGGCTGTCTTCCAGTGCTTTCCCAGGCCATAGCAGAGAGCTGGGTCAGAAGTGGAGCCGCTGGGTCTCGAACCAGCCCCCATATGGGATGCTGGTGCTGCAGGCTGTGGCTTAACCTACTACACCACAGTGCCGGACCTCAGTATGTTTCTAACCCAAGGCCAGCGTGGCAGGAACCAGATCGGAATTGGAAATAACTTGATGGATTTTATTGACCTGGCAGGTTCCTATTGTACTGTCCAAGGTGGTAAGCAGTAGCCACATGTCACTGTTTACATTTAAATTGAGAATTAAGCTTTTCAATCTCACCATATTTCGCAGAGCACCTGTGTCTGGTGGCTACCGTGTATCGCACAGTGCCGATATAAAATATTTCTATTATCACATAAATTCCTGTTGTACAGTGCTAACTCTAGAATCGGAAGAACTTCTGAGTGAACCAGAGAGATGAGAAGCAGACATGAACATGGGCCACAGCATTGCTTTCCTGCATGCCAATAAAACTCAGCCGGGTCTGCATCCTCCCAGTGTGTGTAAATACTTGATTTAATACTACTTCTTGTTCACAGAACATAGTCCATGTTCTGTTCTGTTCTTTTCCTAAGTGACGAGAGGAAACAGTTAACTCATGAAAGAAAATCAGAATTTTACAGATAGTGTTTTAGGGATTTAAATAATTAAAAAAAAAGCTTGAGTATATCCTTTCCCAAAGCAGTTTGCAAAAATAAGCCTTCTAAAATTCTGCTGTGTTTGTAACCAGCTTGTGAATGAGAGAATATTGAGCGTGCAGTCTGATGGACTAGCAATCCTGGCTCCTTCAGCTTCCAGCTTTAGGGTGCCACTGACTTTACAGTTCTTCATAATGATAACTTCAGTTTTGAAAATACCCCAAAATATCCTGCGTTAAAGTGGTTAAGTTGGTCTCTTTTAAGATGGAATTTAAAAGCATTTCTTTACCAGAGACTGCTTCATATGATCCTCCTGTTAGGGACAGACCTAACTAATGATTCTGAATAGTGAAGTGGAGGTCAGTAAACACATTACTGAACAGTCCTTCTCTTCTTTGGCAAGCATACTGTGTAATTATTAGGGATTATTTTGTTAACATAGAGGTGTTCTCAGAGCAGTTTGTAAGTTTTTGGTGATTCAACACTTGTTTGAGTGTCTTCCTGCTCTGTCACAGATCAGGTTTGCTGAAGGTAGGCATCTGAGTGCATCGGCTAACACTGCGAGAGTGACGTAGCGGTTCTCGTAATGTTCTTGTGTTAAGTATAAGGAAATATGTAACAAATGAGTATTTTAGAGGTTTTCAGAAAGGTAAGTTTTAAAACAGCTTCTGTCATTTCTGATTTCAAGCATATCTTGTCACGTCTTAAACCCACCTGATGTCTCTGATATGTACCCTAAGTGTGTCATCTGTTTGCTATTTTGAAAAATAATATTGTTTAGAATAGTACTTGGGGGCCAGCGTAGCATTGTGGCGCAGTGGGTTAGGATGCCTCCTGCAGCACCACTGTCCCCTATGACTGCTCGTTTGCGTCCCAGCCTTTCCACCTTGCAGTCCAGCTCCCTGCTAATGGCACTAGGAAAGCAGTGGAAGGTGGCTCAGCATTGAGTGCCTGTCACACACGTGGAAGACCTGGGTGGAGTTTCTGGCTCCTGGTTTTGGCCTGGCCCAGCCACAGTGGGCACAGCCATTTGGAGAGAGAAAAGCAAATGGAAGATACCTTTCTATCGCCATCTCCCTCCCTCTTTAACTCTGCCTTCAAATAAATAAATAAATAAATAAGTTTTTATTTAAAAGTGGGAACAGTGCTTGTGTTATCATCTTGGTGATATGGTGAAATAGAAGCAATGATCAGTACACACTCCTTTCACCGGTTTCTGTTTGTTTACTGTTTATTTGAGGGCCAGGGAGCTCCCATTATCTAGTTAACTCCCCAGCTGCCTGCAGTGCCTAGGGCTGACCTGGGGCCAAGCCGGGGCCAGAGCTGGGAGCCAGTAACTTAGTCCTGGTCTTCCATGGCTGCCTTCATTAGCAGGAAGCTACAGTTAGCTTCAATTAGAAACAGAGCCAGATTTAACCCAGATACCCCCACGTAGGGCACAAGCATTTTGACCACTAAGATAAACACCCTCCCTCAGCTGGTATTTTAATGGTGTACTTTCTGAGCTGTCTGTATACCAGATTGCTGGACAGTGGCAACGTGAATATGATGAAGACGCAGTGTCGATGAGGATGTTAATGGCTGGGAGTGTATGTCAGTAATGTATAGAATGGCATCGGTGAATGACAGGACCGCCAGGCCTCCCTTGAAGAGTCTGGAAAGGCTTCCTAAGTTGGTGGGTGATTAAGCCAGGTCCAAGAACACCTGCCATTCTTCAGGTCAATAAGCGTGCACCAGGCAAAGAGTGTGCCATAGGAAAATGGAAACCAGGGTCGCTTCTGTATAGGGACTAAAGAGAGGCAAGGTGAGAAATGAGACGGAGGGTGGGAAGGGAGCAGAAGACGAGGAGCCCGTTGTTGTAAGCGGTGGGATGGTGTAGAAAACAGACAAGGAGATGACGCAGTAGTTTGCCTGAGAAATAACTGAGGCCAGTGTGGCACTCTGAGCACCCGTTTGAGTCCCGGCTGCTCCACCTCTGCTGCAGCCCCCTGCTAGTGCACCTCGGGAAGCAGTGGAAGATGGCCCAAGGGCTTGGGTCCCTGCACCCACATGGGAGACCCAGATGAGTTTCAGCCTCTTCGGTTCAGTCTGGCCAGTTCTGGCTGTTGGAGCCATTTGAGGGGTGAACCAGCGGATACAAGCTGGCTCTGAGTGTGGGTGTCTCTGTCTCTGCAACTCTGCCTTTCAAATAAGTAAATAAATACTTAAAAAACAAAACAAAATCCTGAGGCCTGAACTGAAGTAATAGCTGCAGAGATGGACGCTAGGAGGTTGATATTACCCGGGTTATCCCACAGGGCTTGGCTACAGCTGCATGTGTGGAGGGAGGGGCAGGCTTCCACATTCTGGACAGCTGAGTGAACAAGATGTTGAGGAAGAGGGTAGGGTCAGGCTTGTATACGTGGAGTGTAAGCTGCTTATATACTTTTTTTTAAAAAAAGATTTTATTTATTTATTTGAAAGGCAGAGTTACAGAGAGAGGCAGAGAGAAGTCTTCCATCCGCTGGTTCACTCCCTTAATGGCCACAACAGCCAGAGCTGTGCCAGTCCGAAGCCAGGAGCCAGGAGCTTCTTCTGGGTCTCCCACATGGATGCAGGGGCCCAAGAACTTGAGCCATCTTCTAGCTTTCCTAGGCCATAGCAGAGAGCTGGATCAGAAGTGGGGCAGCCAGGACTAGAACTGGCACCCATATGGGATGCTGGCACTGCAGGTGGCGGGCTTACCCGCTACGCCACAGTGCTGGCCCTGCTCATATACATTTGAGTAGAGTTGTCCAGTAGGCAGTTGTTTATCTGTTATCAAGTTGGGTTAGAACCTGTGTTTTCATAGTGAAAACTCATCTCAGTAGTCTTCACATGACGTAAATGGTAAAATGTTGGCTGCTTGCAGTATGTACCTCTTATTTCTTACTAACTTATGGGTAGTGCAAGACGTGAGTGCAGCCCTGATGCTCTGTTGCAGTTTGTTTGCCTGAGCAGCCTCAGATTCTGTTACTGTGGTTCAGAGTAAGATGCTCTGGACACAGCATCGGTATTGGCCTGTGTTTAATATACTGGTAGGCATTCAGTGCAAAAGAGAAGAGGTCATATTCTCAGCAACTGGGAGCAGCCGTGCAGTGTTACCACAGTGAACACTGTTTCCTGAGGTAACTGAAACAGGTTCTGCTTTATCTGTCCTTGTTCTTTTTTGTCTCTCAATCCCATTTTTAACTTTCGAGAAACCAGATTTGTTTTTCTTTATCCTCCATCAACTGTTGTTTCAGGGACATCCAGAAAAAAACTCCTACAGAAGATTCTTCTGACTCCTCTGTTCTGCAGTTTGCCTGGTTTTCCTTATTTGCTGGCTTGGTCAGTCCCTGGAAAGCATTTTTTACAGATCATATAGTAGTACACACTTGAACAGCACACTGATGCTTTATAGAACTGTTAAGGGACAGTTTTAGGATTCCAGAGGAGGAGAGTGTATGGCGCATGCATGCCAAAACCTCTTAAGAAATGTGTACTCAGTACTCTTTGTTACTTTTTTTGTCAGAGGCTAAAGATGGAACTTTGAATTCTTTGCTTCTCTGAATCAAAGTTCAGGGTTCTAAGATTAAGTATTTGTGATTGCTTTCATCTTTTTTCCCTTTAATGTTCTGATTTGAATTTCTTCTTTCTTGTGAGTCTTCTGAAGGAGTACATGTAGTGTTTGGGGTTTTCTCATGGGAAAAAGATAAGGAAAGCTTAGAAGATTTCTTCAGAATTTTTATGCCAGTAAATAGTTGCTGTCCTCTCCCTTTCTGCCTGTGTCTCTTTTATTATTTTTTCCCCAAGTTGTATTTATTACTTGAAAAGCAGAGAGACAGAGATCTGTTATCCACTGGTTCATTCCCCAAGTGCCCACAAGAGCCAAGAGCTGGGAACACCATGCAGGTCTCCCTTGGGGCAGGGACCCAACTACACGGCCATTACCTACTGCCTCGCGTGCTGCCCATTAGCAGGAAGCTGGAACAGGAGTGGAGCTGGGACTTGAACTCCGGCGAAGGCCCAAGTGTTATCTCAACCACTTTGCTGAATTCCTGAGTCCATTCTTCCTTTTTGTTAGGAAGACCAGAGGAGATGCTCAGCCTTAATGTGCTAGCAGCTATTCTCAGAAACTAAAAGCTGTCCATTGTATCTGTGAGATACCGGTATAAAGAAAACATACAAAATGGGTGCATTCAAGGGAAGTTGGGGGTCCTGTGTTTAATATTCACATTGACCTCTGTGAGAGGATCTAGATTGTGTTTCTTTGCATAAGGCAAGAAAGTATTAATTGGCCAGTGGTACACGGTGTAGCGTACTGCCAGGATTGTAGGTGTGTGTCCTCTGAGGTTTTAGGGAACACTTGACATCTTTCTCCTCGTTTTGCTGGCTTTTACAACGTTATTGTTGTCGCTGTGGTTTAATAGATGATGTGTTACAGTTTGGAATTCCTCTAATTTAGGTTTCAAAGCTGTGTAAATCATTAGTTCCCGGTTACATATACAAGTTTGTTTAACACTTAAGTGTTGCTCTGACCCTTGCTTTTAAACAGAGACAGCAAACAGTAGCTTCATGTTTATTTCTTTTTTAATGGGGTATATTAAGAAAGCATTTCTAAGCCAGTTAACATTTCTGTACCAGATCTACAGTTTTTTTTACCCACAGCTAAATATTTAGAATGTTTTATTTATGGATACAGTAATTTACTACATGCCTATGATAACCAAAATAATATTGTTATCAGATTAATGAAGCAGGATTAGTGTGATAGTTTTTAAGCTAGATGAGAAACTTTATTTGTGGACAGTAGCTAGCTGTATACAGCCTTTTTTTTTTTTTTTTTTTTTGAAGAAACAATGTAAGCATTTTTCTTTTTCCAACCACTAAAATCCTAATTTTGTTGTGTAGTTAGTGCAATGAAGGACAGTGTACAAGTAAATATAGTTGAAGAGGATTTAGACAAGAATAAGTTTGGATAAGAAAGTAGTTTAATTGTGTATTTCACTTCTATGGAAGATAAAGCAGAGAACAAAATAGACATGGTCCTTGCCCTTTTTTTTTTTTTAAGATTTTATTTATTTGAAAGAGTAACACAGAGAGAGACAGAGAGAATCTTTTATCTGCTGGTTCACTCCCCAAGTGGCCTCAATGGCTAGAGCGGGACCTATCTGAAGCCAGGAGCTTCTTCCAGGTCTCCCATATGGGTGCAGGGGCCCAAGCACTTGAGCCATCTTCTACTGCTTTCCCAGGCACATTAGCAGGGAGCTGGATTGGAAGTGGAGCAGTTGGGACTCAAACCAGTGTTCATATAGGATACTGGCGCTGCAGGTGGCGGCTTTACGCATTAAGCCACAGCTTCAGCCCTGGAAGTTTTATTTATTCAAATCTGCCTGTTCTTAATTCATGGTGTTTCGCCTTCTTAATACTTTGATTACTACAACATTTATACTCAGGTCTGTTGTCTAGTTTAGATCATGAGCTAAAGTAGGATAGAGGTGTATCTGTCAGATAGACCTTATGTAACCTAGACTGGAAGTGCCCTCTTCCAGGGAGGTCTTGTGTTTTAATTCAGCCTGGTGCAGAAGTGTCATTGGCCCAAAGCCAACTTGAATTTTGGTTTCTGGACCTGAAGTTTCTTAAACTAGAGTTTCAGCCCTTAGTTACAGACAGGTCTCCCATGTGGGTGACAGGGGCCCAAACACTTGGGCCCTCTTCCTCTGCTTTTCCCAGGCCATTAGTAGGGAGATGGATTGAAGTAGAGCAGCTGGGACATGAACCAGTGCCCATACAGGATCCAAGCATTGCAGGTGACGGGTTTACCTGCTATGCCACAGCACAATCCCCTGTAATAGTATTTTTTTCCTCCAGTTTTTTTTTTTTTTTTTTTTTTTTTTTTTTTTAGAGGCACAGTTACAGAGAGGAGAGGCTAGAGAGAGGTCTTCCATCTGCTGGTTCACTCCCCAGTGGCTGCAATGGCAGGAGCTGGGTCTGTCTGAAACCAAGAGCCAGAACTTCTAGGTCTCCCACATGCGTGCAGGGGGCCCAAGGACTTAGGCCATCTTCCACTGCTTTCCCAGGCCATAATGGAGAGCTGGATAGGAAGTGGGTCAACCAGGACTCAAACTGGCGCCCATAAAACCACTGAAGGTGATGGCTTTACCCGCTACACCACAGTGCCCCCCCCAATAGTCTTAACTCACATACTTGGTGTATATATTTGTTTTCACTGAATAGCTTGGCCTTTTGTATCTTTTTCATATATAGGAATTTGAGAGAAATTGATGTTTTTAGACAGTGCTCATATGGTTTAGTGGAAGGAGTTTTTTTTTTTTTTTTTTTTTTTTTTTTTTTTAAGATTTCTTCATTTATTTGAAAGCAGAGTTACAGAGAGGAGAGGGAGGGAGAGACAGATATTATAAGATCTTCCATTTGCTGGTTTACTCCCCAAATGGCTGCAGTGGTCACGGCTGGGCCAGGCTAACGCCAGGAGCCTGGAACTGCATCTGGGTTTCCCACATGATTGGCAGGAGCCAAGCACTCGGGCTGTTCTCTAGTTCTTTCCCAGGTCCATTAGCAGGGAGCTGGACAGAAGGGGAGCAGCCAGGACTTGAACCGGTGCTCAAACAGGATGCCAGCGTTCCAGGCCCCAGCTCAACCCATTGTGCCACACACCAGCCCAGGAGCATTGGGTTTTTTAAACAAGACGTAAAGTTTTTTGTTTAGTTCTGTTCTGTTTCATTGTATTTGAAAGGGAGAGAACTTCCATCCACTGGCTTACTCCCCAAATGCCCCCAGCAGCCAGGGCTGGGCCACACAGTACCCAAAAGCCTGGAATTCTGTTCAGGTCTCATGTGGGTAGCAGGGCCCCAACTGCTTGAGCTATCTGCTGCTTCCCAGGGTGCAGATAATAGCAGAAAGCTCGATTGGAAGTGGAGTAGCTGGGACTTGAACCCAGCACTGCAATATGGAAGTAACTCCATGTCTGTCACAGCAAGATCTAAATTTAATCTATTTAACAGTGATAGGACAAAAATAACTTTTAACAGCACTTTATAAGTTTTGCTAGAAGTAAAATCATATCACATGTGTCAGGTGGTGTCAGGGCCTCTCCTGCCCGTGCAGAGCCAGCCCCCTTGAGGGGTATGGGGCAGCTTGCTCTCATTTCCGCACATCCCCGGGACTCAGTCCACATTTTCAGTAGATGCGTTGTCCAGTCTGTGGAGTAGACCTTTTTCCCTAGCAGTTTTGCTCTCAGTCGCTGTTTGGACTGATTGTGAATAACGCCAGTTCACTTGAGCTCTTACCACAACATCAGGCATTCTGCTACATGCTTTTACACACACCATCTAATTTCAGCCTTCAGATAGCACAATGAGGTATGTGCTATTTTTCTTTTTAGATTTATTTATTTGTGTGTTTGTTTGAAAGAGTCCCTCCGCTGGTTCACTTCCCAAATAGCTGGACCAAGCACTTGGGCCATCTTTCACTACTTTCCCAGGTGCATTAGCAGGGAGCTGGATTGGAAGTAGAGCAGCTGGGATGTGAACCTGTGCCCCTATGGGATGCCGGTGTTGCAGGTGACCACTTAATCTGTTGTGCCACAACGCCGTCCCTATACTATCACTTTAATTTTATAAGTTAGGAAAACCTGAGGCACCCAGTTTCAACACAGTAAGGGATAGAGTAGGAATTCAAATCCAAATCTAAAGTTTTCTAATGATATGACTCTGCTGTATACATTGAAAGATCCAAAAGCCATTAAATTCTTAGACTCATGGTCCATATTTTACTGTTTCTTTGGAAGCAACATGTTGTGTCCCTCTCTTAGAAATTCATGGTGTACATTAGCATACTGAAGACTGTTAGAAGTTCTTTAGTTTAGGGGTAAAAATACCTTTACTTTGTTAAACTTGGCAGTTCCAAAATTGGAATTTCTTTTATTCATATATATATATATATATAATATTTTAAAGATCCCCTGCACCCACATGGGAGACCCAGAAGAAGCTCCTGGTTCCTGGCTTCGGATTGGTGCAGCTCCAGCTGTTGCAGCCAATTGGGGAGTGAACCAATGGATGGAAGACCTCTCTCTATCTCCACTTCTCTCTGTAACTCTTTCAAGTAAAATCAATCATTCTATTTTTAAAAACAAAACAGCACTCTTTTTTTAAAGCCTAGCATGATAAGGTCTCAAGTTTTTTCACAACTACCAATTTTCTGGAGTTTTCCACAATACCTAGAGTACTGTGGGTAATTTATATAATCATTGGTAGATTATAAATGACTGCCGTAGAACAGATACAAATACCTATTGGTTGAATGAATAAATTGGTCAGTCTGTTTTTTTCTTTTCTTTTCTTTTTTTTTTTTTTATAAACTTTTTAATGAGTAGAACCAAAACATATCTAAAACCGCAGCTTCTGAAAGAACCACTTGTTCTTGCCGGTCTTGTACCTCTCTTCAAACTTGACCTTAGCCTCTCCTTGCGTTTAAGAGCGGGGCGGGGTCCCTGAGACATCTTGTTGACACGGTTTTTGTCAAAGATTATCCACAAGTACCTGGTGGGCATGAGGTGATTGTAGTTATAAACTTTCACAAAAGACTTGATCTTCGACCGCTTGGCGATTTTCTTCTTGCCCATGGCGGCTGTCACTTTCCGGGGGTAGCGGTCAATTCCGGCCACCAGAGCGTGGCTGTAGGGGCGGTCCGAGGTGCCATCGTCAATGTTCTTCACGATGACGGCTTTGCGTCCCGAGTAGCGTCCGGCCAGGACCAGCACCACTTTCCTGGGTTTCATGAACTTGCCCATTTCGACGGCAACCACTCAGGCCTACAGCGGAAAGGAAGTGGTTTTTTTTTTTTTTTTCTTTTTTTAAAGATTTATTTATTTACTTCAAAGTCAGAGTTACACAGAGAGAGGAGACGGAGAGAGAGAGAGGTCTTCATCTGCTGGTTCATTTCCCAGTTGGCCACAACGGCCGGAGCTGCGCTGATCCAGAGCCAGGAGCTTCTTCTGGGTCTCCCACGTGGGTGCTGGGACCCAAGGACTTGGGCCATCTTCTACTGCTTTCCCAGGCCACAGCAGAGAGCTGGATTGGAAGAGGAGCAGCTAGGTCTTGAATCAGCACCCATATGGGATGCTGGCACTACAGGCGGCAGCTTTATCTGCTACACCACAGTGCCAGCCCCGAAACTGATAACTCTTATTTGGGTTTTTGGGATGTATTTCCAAGACACACTTGAATTCAGTCATTATAAATTATTTGCTTTTTATTGTTTGTTTTTAATTTTCCTTTACTTGCAAGGCAGAGAGATCTTCTTTCTGCTGGATCACTCCCCAGATGCTTGCAACAGCCAAGGTAGAGCCAGGCCAAAGCCAGGAGCGGGGCTCCATCCTGGTCTCCCATGTGGCTGTCAGGTGCTGCTCGTCAAGGGGCAGCAGGTCCGATAGAGCTCCTCAGGGCCAGCCTGGGCGGGATGATGAGTGGCAGAGGAACCACACCAGAGCCGTGAGATCAGTCAACGCCCAGGGGGCAGCGGGGTTCTCGACTTTATTGGGAGGGGAAGAGCTTTTATAGACACAGAAAGGGGGCTGTCCAGGGCACAAGGGAACCCAGCCAATCAGCTGAAAGGTAAGGCAGGACACGAGCCGGGCACGCCCTCAAGGGCCAATCACAGCCGAGGACACATACCGTGCACGAATACGGAAGTCTCCAGTCAGGCTAGGTACTGCCCCCGGGGGCCATCTTGGATTGTTGGAAACGCTGAGTCACTGGGATGCGGAAGTGCGGCAAACTCGAGCAAAGGCTTATGGCCTAGTGGAGCCAAGGCTTAGCAACTTTG